TGCTCTCTCTAAGGCAGCTGTCTCTTGTGTAACCGGATCCCCACCCCCCATGCTCCCAGCTGCCTTCGGGGTCAGACTCAGCTGCTAAGTGGTTCTCAAGGCTGCAGGGAGGCCCAGCCTTTCGCTGCGGGGACTGCCTGTGACGTCCCAGGTTCTCCGGCCACACCAGCTCTTGCATCTCACTGGACTTTCTTGGCCCCCCAGTCCTAGCCCAGGCTGTGCCGTCCGCCTGCACTGCCCTTCCTGCACACGGCAGCCCCCAAGGCCCCCTCCAAGATGCTCTCCTAGGCTCCTCGGGAGACGGAGACATATCTGTCCCCCTTCCCAACATTTCCATACCTCTGGGGGTTTAGCACGGTGCCCAGCCCACACCAGGCAGCAGTAAAGCAGGTCTGGACTGAGGGGTCGGCCTCCTCCACTCGGGGCAAGGGGACTCAGCTGCTCCCCCCAGGCGAGGGGAAATCCAGCGGACAGCTGAGGCCTGTTGCGCTCAGCTTCGGGTGGGCGAGGGAGGTGATCAGCGTGTTAGCTACGGAGACCACCTGGGCGCCGAGAAATCCGAAACAGCCTGGGAGCTCGAGGCTGTTACTAGGAGCACAGTGTCTAGGCACAGGAGGCAACGTCTTACTCTGTTGAGGTCAGATCTCTTTGAGAACAGCTGTGAACACAACATCTGAGCGGGACATGGGGAAAGTAGAGCTCATTCTCGTTAGTCCGCCTGGAGACTGGCGGTGCTGGAGATGGTGTCTTGAGAGAGGTTAGGGGCACGGCGGTCCCCACCTGGACACCCTGCTGGGCTCCCCTAGGACCATAGGAGCAGGGGAAGCTTCAGGGACAGTCTCTCTGTCCTAGGGAAGGGTGGGTGACTGGGGAAGGTAGGGAGTGAGCTTCCTGCCCCAGGAAGTGTGAGCAGGAGCTGGATGTGCCGCATGGGCGTCTGAAGGCCCCTGAAGCTCTTCCACGCCACCCTCCCCCCACAGGAGCACTGCCCATGCTTGTGTTCCAGCCATGAACGCCCACCCCAAGGAGATGGTGCCTCTCGTAGGCAGGAGAGTCGCCGCCCCCAGTGGGAACCCCGCTGTCCTGCCAGAGAAGAGGCCGGCGGAGGTCACCCCCACGAAGAAGAGGTAGGATGAGAAGCTCGGGGACTGGGATCCTCGCTGGGAGGGGCACAGGACAGGGCCTGGCACCCACCCAGGGAACCCTGTTGTTGGGTAGACCTGAGACGCTCGGCCTCATCTGGGGTGGCCTGGTGCCCGCTAGCCGTGACTGGGGGGCACGGTAGGGGAAACAGCATCGTACACTCGGGGGCTGAGCTGGGGAGGTCGGTGTGGCTGGCACAATCAGGGAGGCCTCCTTGGAGGGGTCAGGAGGCACCGGGGTGGAAACAGTCAAGAAGGCTCCAGGCGAGGCTGGAGCCATCCTCAAGAGAAGGAGCACAAAGGTGGGTGGGAATTCCAGGCGGCCTGGACCCTCCGCAGGGGACAGTTTCCGCTCCAACCCGCTGTGCACCAGCCAGGTTAGTCCAGCGCTCAAACTCCGCCTGTGTAATGGGGACGCACGCAATGGCACCACCTCATGGGGTGATGGCTAATTGGGATCACGTCAACAAGTGCTCAGCACGGGGCCTGGCACGCGGTCAGTGCTCAGCACATGTTGGCATCGACGGTGTTTTTGTTACCTTTGCCATTGTCATTGTTGTTGTCACTCCAGAGGGCCCCCAGGAAAGGGGCAGGCCTGGGATGGGCAGGTCCGCTTCCTGGCTGGGGACACGGAGGAGGCCGGGAGCAGGGAAGGGACCTCTCTGGGGTCACACCTTCCGCCCCTCAGCTGTCTCCCCTGTAGGTCCTCTAGCCTGCAGCTGACTCGGTGCCTCTCAAACTGCTCTCCCACCCCCTCAGCTGTGCTTCCCTCGGACCTGGTCCCCCTGGGGGTGGCCCAGGCTAGGTTGGCCATGTCTTCCCTGCCCTCCTCCCCAGTCCCTTCTTGGGCCAGGGTGAGCTTGCTGCTTTCTCTCTGTCTGTTGGTTGGAGCCATAATAGCCAAGGTATCCTGTGTACCAGGCCCAGGCTGGCCCGGATGGGGAGACTGGGACACCCAGAGATGGGACACCCGGCCCCCTCACAGTCTGGTGAGGGTGTGGGGAGTGTGAATCAGGTGGGGGCTCAAAAGGGGCAGGTCATGCTGATCCTGTGGGTAGTCTCAGGGTACTTCCTGGAGGAGGTGGCATTAGAGGGGAAGTTGGCAGGTAGAGAGGAAGGGAAAGGGCATCGGGGGCAGAGGGACGTGGGAGCAGGGGCTCCAGGCAGGGACCAGTGAGGAGTCTGGTGTAGCTGATGTGCTGGGTGGGTGGAGGAGTCTGTGAGGAGGTAAGTCCCATTTTGGCTGGGCAGTTAAAGAACCTGGGGGTCAGTTAAGGAACTTGGACATTTGTGAGGGCAGTAGGGAGCCACAGAGGGATTTTGTGAGGGAGGGAGGGCATGGCGAGATTTGCATCCTGGAGAGATTACTCTGGGTGAGCCGTGTGGGTGATGGACTGGAGGGGGCTGGGGGCAGGGAGACCATGAGGAAGCTGTGGGGAAGCCCAGGTGACAGGTGGGGAGGTCTGAGTCTGGTGTCAGGGATGGGGAGGAGGGGGAAGCATAGAGAGGCATCATGGGAGGGAAGGTAGAAGGAGCCAAAGACACCCCCTTCTTATGGTCAGGGGACCTAGACATGGGCAGAGACGTCTCTGAGCTAAGCAGGCAAGGCCCACCTTCCCGGCTCTCCTCTCCCTTCCTGTCCCCTCTCACTTCTCCAGGGGAAGTCTGGCCCTCGGGGAAGGATTGAGGACAGAGTTCAGGAAAACGCCAGGTTCTCCCTCAGCAGGACCAGTCGCTCTGTCCTGTCTGAGCCCGGCCCCAGTCACGAACTTGGATCCAGGCTCCACTCTGCAAAGCCAAGGGCCAGGGGGTGGGGGGTGGCCTTTGTCCTCTGAATTGGTGGCCTCTCTTCCTCCCCGAAGTTTCTCCCAGGGCTCTCTTGTGAAGGTTTAGGCATCTCCCTCAGAAACTGAGTAGAGAACTTGGGCCCAGAGAGGAAAACAAAAGGAAAGAATAAATTAAACATAGAGAAAGAGGGCAATGCTTACCCCCACAAAATACATACTAGTGGTGGAACAGAAAGCCCCGGGAAGTCTGCAGGGGAGAGGTGTTTGCACCTGGCAGCCTTTCCTGAGCCATCATGCCATTCCCCGTGAGTAGCTGCCATCATGCTCCTTACCGTGCCCTGGCACAGTGATGCCCAGGGTGGGAGACACAGGCCGATGGAGGCTGTGGAGGCTGAGGAGCCTTGCACAGCTCACAGCACTTGGGCATTTCTTGGAACAAAGCAGGTGGCCAAGCAGGCTCCTTCCCAGCCCTGGGGCTGCTCAGGGATGGTTCTTTGACTTCAAAGGGACAGAAATGGTGAAATGGTGTAGCTCTGTCTGCTCACCTGAGTCAACAACACCCAGGTGGTGGCCTTTGGTCTGGGCCAAAAGTAAGAATAAAAAATAGCATCTGCACAGGTCAGGAGCTGGGATGTCACGTGGCTAAGTCCCGGCCACGTGCGTGTGATGGTGAGTGGGATGCAGTGTGCCAGCGGCAGGCAGAGCTGTCACAGGACAGGCCCTCACGGTCCAGCAGCTGCTCTGTCCTAGGAGTTAGGTCCTTGCCCAGCAGTCGGGTCTCCCCCAGCCCGGCCCTCATCACTGTCCTTCTCACACCCTGTGCTCCGGCCTCCAAGCACTTCCTTCCCCAGACCCAGCCCTCACCTTCCTCCCGAGGAGGCTTTCTCCTGCTGCTCTCTCTGCCTGCAGGGCCCTTCCCAAACCGCAGGCCCATCCCACTCCCACAGGGCACAGCACCGTCCCCAGTCCCTGTCCTCAACTGAAGGACCGTCCCTTCCCCTGAGCTCACACAGCCCAACCCGTCCCTGAAGAGGTTGACGTGGCTACTGGGACAATGTCTTAGCTCTGGTTGAGATCTCTGGGGATGGGGTCCCTGGAAGGGTCAGCTCTTCCCTCCCTGCCCCGTGCGTTTCCTACACAGAGCGTGTTAGTAGTTTTCGAGTAAGTAGCTGAGTCAATGAAGGAGCAGGCAGGGAAATGAGAGAAGGGGTGGGTGGGTTGATGAGTAAGCAGCCTGGTAGCCTCTCAGCCTGAGTGAGGACACTGCGCCGGGGAGATGATGAAACATTTCCTCCCTTCCCTTGGGCCTGGAGTGGATAGATGCTCTTGCGATCCGAATCTCTGTACCATCTTTGGTCTCCTGTGGGCTCTGGTAGGAGCCTGAGAAGGTGGGCAGGTAGAGCAGGGACAAAGGACTGCTCCTCAGCTTCTTGTGCAAGATTGGGGAGGGGATGGGGCGTAGGGGAGGTGAGGGCTTTGGGTACCTGACAGCACAGTGGGAGTCACCTGCAGGATACAACCTCCCAACAGCACCTATAGTTCAAGGTTGTGTTGGTCTGTCTGCTTATTGGTTCTGTCCACCTGTCTACCCACCCAACTACTCATTGTCCATCCATCCACCCATCGTTCCATCCTCTGTCCATTATCCATCCATTCACCTGTCATCGGTTGGACAAGCCATTCTTCCTTCCACTCATTTATCTTTCACTCATCATCTGTCCTCCCACTCACCCATTCAGTGAGGTCTCTGTGTGTTAGGACCGGTGTTGGGGAGTCAAGGACGATGAAGTTATAGTCCCTGCCATTGAGGAACGAACAGCTGAAGGGTAGTGCGTTGTCCAGAGTGGGGAGAGCTGTGGCCTCACTGCCTTGTGCCTTGGCCTGACCCTTGGGGCCAGTTATGACTAGCTCTCTAGGACAGAAGCTCTGGCAGGGAAGGGATCTCTGTCCACTTGTTCACCAGTGTATCCCCAGCCCCAGTAACAGTGCCTGGCCATGTTAGGTATTCCAGAAATATTGTTGAGGAACTCAGGTGGGGTGGGGTGGGGTGGGAACCGGGGAGGGGCTGGACCAACTGTCTTAGAAAAGAACCATGGGCGTGGGGGCTAGGGTTGTGTCTGGAGGGAGTTTGGCAGATCTCAATCAAGCAGGATGTTTTGGGGCTGAGCCTCAAGCAGATGCGTTTAGAGCCCCTGAGCCAGGCTGCCATGGCGGAGTGGAGACAGCGTTGGGGTGGCAGTTATGGGCCCTGCAGGGGTGCAGGGGAGCGGTGACCAGACTGGTCGCCCTGTGATGCCCACTTCAACTGGACATTCCAGAGGACGATCCTGGAGCTGCCCTGGCTCCAGAGTCCAGGCCTTAGGGACCATCTGGCCCAACCATCACCCATTTAGGTGAGGACACCTGGCTCAGAGATGGCAAGTGACCACCTGGGGTTACACAGGAGGCAGAGGCAGAGCTGGACTAGAATCCAACTCTAGGTTCCCAGCAAGGGCTTCCTCCTTCCTTTGTCTTCTGTTTGGAAAAAGGATTTGATTTGAGGTCAGGTCAGAAGTTTCCTCTTGATGGGCAGGAGGCAGGAAGGTGGAGGCCAGTGTGGCAGCTGGTGCCACCCTCCACCCGATTCATGCCCCATTTCTGGATCACTGCTGAGCCTTCCTGGCTTGTTTGTGCCTAAAGAAGAGGACAGGGGTTCCCCTGGCTCTCTCTCTTGCCTGCCCCACCCTGGGAAGTGGCCATATCGGGTAGCTGGGCAAGGCCCAAAGGGCCAAAGAGAGAGCGGAGTGGTGTGGACTATGGTGTGCACTGTGAGCCTGGACACCAGGAGTCAGGTTCTCTGCCCAACTTGGCTTCTACCCTGGGAGGTGACCGTGGATGAGCTGCTGCTCCATACTGATCCTCAGTTTCCTCATCTGTAAAATGGGGCCACAGTGCCTTCCTTGCTGACCTCCCTCCTGAACTTGATACTTCTGGGACTGCACTTTGGGAGCTCTTCTGCTGTCTTCTGAGGAAGGGAGGGGGCGTGTTAGTCCTTGCAGGCCGCAGAGAAAGCACACAGCGAAGGCGTTTAGGAGCCCCGTGGGCCTGGAGAGAGGCTCTGCCGGTCAGGAGGCTCTGCCGGTCAGGAGCCAGACCCTGCCCTGGGCTGGGTCACAGAGCCAACAGTTGTGCTGCAGCAGCTGACGGTGAGGAAGTTGCTGCCACCAAGGTCACCCTTAGCCTGATCTGCACTACCCTGGTTGTCCCCAGAAGGCTGGTCTCTGAGTGTGTGTGTGTGATTTCTGAGGACATGGGTGTCTGCGTTTGTGGGAGTGTCTGAGGGCGGGCCGGGCTGTGCTGGCTGGAGTCATCTCTTGGGTGTGGTCTTGCCTAGGCCCGTCTCCCTCCTCCCAGCCCAGGGGGAAAGCTGACCCCCGCCTCTCCCCCCTGGGCTCCTCCCCTCCACTGCCTGAGGTGGCTTCCTGGGTTTCCCTGCTTGGCCAGGGCTTCCCAGCTCTGTCTCCTGACCCCTGAAGTCCTCTCTGCTCTAGATCAGCTGTTTGCACCCTGCTTTCTGTTGTGACCAACAGCACAAGTCCTGTCAAAGCGGGCCAAGAATAACTATAGCCCTTTCCCTCCCCTCGAGCCAGGGCGGCCCTTGCGGATCTCAGGGTCTAGGGACCTCCCCTGGCAGGGCTCTCCCTGCAGACCTGAGGCCCGAGGAGCAGCTGGGTGGCGATGGGGACTCTGGCTCCACTGGCACATTCCCCGTCTTTGCTGAGTCCTTTGTCCCTGGAGGCAGCGGCAGAGGGGAATCTCACCCACTCAGGGGTTAGGCCACCCTCAGCAGAGGCTCTCAGGTTTATCCACCCGGTATTTCTAGTGATGACAGTCACCCAGACCCAGCTTTGAATCCAGGCTCTGCCACCTGCCTGCTGTGTGGCCTCGGGGAAGCTGCTTCACCAGAGCCTCCTGGTGTCCACCTGTGAAATGTGGTGACAGTGGCGGCACCCATCCCAGAGGTGACTGGGGAGGCAGTGAAGGCTCTCAGCTGGCTGAGGTGCTTGCTCAGTGTGGGGGACACCTCTCTGGCAGGGATGCAGGACACAGGTGGACAGGTACTGCCCCGCTCTGATGGCCTCCTTGGGTGTCCCCTCAGTGCACACTTCTTCCTGGAGATCGAAGGGTTTGAGCCCAACCCCACTGTCGCCAAGACCTCGCCCCCCATCTTCTCCAAGCCCATGGACTCCAACATCCGGCAGTGGTGAGTGCCCCGGCCCAGCCCTGCCCAGCGCTCAGCTACTGGGAGGCGGGCAGTGACCTGTGCCGGCCACGTGGCCAGGCCCGGCTGTGTGCTGCCGTTGTCCATTTTTAAACCTCTCTCTCCTGCCTTCCCCACCTCCAGCATCTCTGGCAACTGTGATGACATGGACTCTCCCCAGTCTCCTCAGGATGATGTGACAGAGACCCCGTCCAACCCCAACAGTCCAAGGTGAGTGTGGCCTTCCCCTCCTCCCACTGTGCCCACCCAGGGAGCTGCCAGAGGGGCAGGCTCCAGGGTCCCATAGGGAAGAGAAAGAAGCCACCATTCCTGGGGGTTGGGACAAATAACTAAAGACATGGGATCATGGCATGCAAGACGTTGTGCAGGGTGGGGAGAAGAGGGGAATATCAAATTTTTATAAATGGCGAAATACTACCCATTCATCATAAAACATTCAAACAACAGTATGCAGCGGAGTAAGAACTTAAGCGCCACACCATTTATGTAAATTCAAAATGCATGCTGCCAGGTGCCTGTGGTCCCAGCTGCTTCGGAGGCTGAGGTGGGAGGACAGCTCAAGCCCAGGAGTTCTGGGCTCTAGAGTGCAATGCCGCGATCGGTTGTCCATACTACATTCGGCATCAATATGGTGACCTCCCAGGACCAGGGGACCACCAGGTTGCCTAAGGAGGGGTGAACCAGCCCAGGTCAGAAACGGGAGCGGCCAAAAATGCACGTGTATGCAACATCAGTGTGCACGGTGCAGGAACGCCTGCAAACAAAAGGAGACACCGACGCATTCCACGGTCGCTTATTTGGAGTATGAGGGTGGGGAGGCAGAGATTTAACAAGTTCAAACAACGCAAAATACGAAATCCCATACTTTGGAGGTAATCAGTGTGGACAGTCAGGCCCACATATTTCCTGGTCATCACTATGTGCACCTGAATATATATTTTGACAAAATGTGATCGCCCCAAAGGGGGGCCTGCGGGGATTGCGGGCACTGTGACAGTCCCGCCAGATGTAGGGGCAGGTGCAGCGCCCATAGGCAGCTCTGCGGGGAAGGGGAGAGGGTGGGGCAGGGGTGCGCGTGTGCTGAGTCGGAAACATTTTCTGGCCTCAGTGCAAACCTGGCCAAGGAAGAGCAGAGGCGGAAGAAGAAGCGGCTGAAGAAGCGCATCTTCGCGGCCGTGTCTGAGGGCTGCGTGGAGGAGCTGGTGGAGCTGCTGGTGGAGCTGCAGGAGCTTTGCAAGCGGCGCCGTGGCCTGGACGTGCCTGGTCAGTGCCTGGGCCTGGCAGCGGGTGCGGGGCTGGGGGCCCTGCCTGGCTCCCGCGGCCCACCTCCCCCCATCTGCCCACCAACCCGTGGGGCTGGAGAGTGAGCAGCCTTGAATGCTGGCTGGGGACTTGGAACTTGACTCTGAGGGTACTAGGGAGCCATGGAAGGGTTTGGGCATGGGAGTGAGGGTCACAGTCTGGGTACTGCATGGAGAATGCGGGTAAAGCTGGGGAAGGCTGTTGGCAGGCAGAACTGGGACCCCAAAGCAGGGCTGGGGGTGAGGAGAGCTGTTCTGGAGAGCTCTGCAGAGAGTGGCATCAGCAGGACATGGGGAGTGAGGGAGAAGGAGGAGTCCAGTGTGGGGCCATTTGGGCTTGGATGGCTTGGAGTGGTGGAGCGCTAGCTGTCTTGGGGGCCAGGCAGTAGCAGGCTGGAGGGGAGGCGATGAGCTTTATTTGGAGGCCCTGAGGAGGGGGCAGGCTGGAGACAGATCTCAGGGTGTCGGCACCAAGGTGGACCACAGGAAGCACGTAGTGGGTAAGATGCCCCAGCGAGGAGAATGTGCAGAGGGAAGGAGCAAAAGGCTTAAGACAAGGCTCCCATGGGCTGCCGAGAGCAGAGAACAAGCAGCCAGCCAAGGAGCCGGAAGAGGGACAGCTGAAGAGGGAGGAGGGGAGCCAGGGGGAGCCGGGTCAGGGAGGCCAGCGCGGGTGGGGAGCAGGTCTGAGGCTGCTGCTCCCACACCCCCTGGGCGGGCAGGGCCCAGGGCAGCAGGGCCCCTCCTGCGACTCCATCCCGTGACCCTGCCTGCAGACTTCCTCATGCACAAGCTGACAGCGTCGGACACGGGGAAGACCTGCCTGATGAAGGCCTTGTTAAACATCAACCCCAACACCAAGGAGATCGTGCGCATCCTGCTTGCCTTCGCCGAGGAGAACGACATCCTGGACAGGTTCATCAACGCTGAGTACACAGAGGAGGCCTACGAAGGTACCTGCCGCGGAGCGGCTGTGCAGACAGGAGTCTCCGAGGGTGGGGTGCAGGGCCACAGGGCCATGCTGGCCATGGCACGCAGAGGCACTGCTGCCACCCAGAAGCCCGAGCACTTAGCACAGTGCCGGGCACATCGCAGGGACTCTCTTCTTTTTTCCTTCATTCTGCAAATAACTGTGAGCACCAACTACACGCCAGATGTTGTTTTTGGCACCGGGGTGCCGTGGTGAACGAGACGCTAGGGAGCTGACGGTAGGCCTGTGGACAGGGAGGTTCATGCCAGTGACTCAAACTTGCCTGTCCTAATAATTCTCCCTTTTCAGTCCCCTCTGGCCCCGCCTTCCTTTTTGTCCGTATTGCAGGGACTCACAGACTCCCTCTTCTAGCAGCACATTTCCTCTGAGGGCAGGGACGCAGTCTGTTGCCCATAGTTGATTTCCTAGTGCCTTTAGGGTCCCTCGTAAAAGCGGCTTAATATATATTTTTTGAATGCATGAATAAATGAAGGTTATTAGCGCCTGTATTAAGGCTTTGCTGTCCTGGTTACGAATCCTCATCTCTCTTTGTTCTCGGCCTCCCTTTACCTCTTGCTGGTGGGTGTGTGTGGGGGCCTTTGGGGACCTACTCTCTCTCTGAGTGGTGAGAGAAGCCCTTTATTCCAGCTTCCCAGAAACCAGCCTCACCACCCTTCTGCCCCACCGCCCCCAAGATATCTGCTGATGCCTTCCCTTAAGTGGTTCTGAGGGAAATTCCCACCACCTGGGGTGCAGGGGCTCCAGGACCATAGAACAGGATTTTTCTACATTTTGGGCAGGTTACATCACTTCTCTGAGCCTCAGTTTCCCCATCAGGCAGGGGCTAATATTTCCTCCCTTTGGGGCTAAAAGAATCCAATTATGACTTTATTAATATCTTTTTAAAGCATTTTATCAGAGGCCTTTAGAGCTTTATTTCTTTTCTTTTAATAATTATTCAATTAATTATTTAATATTATAAAATATTTTAAACGTACAAATTGAGATATTAGCATAAAAACCTCTGTATATCTATCATCAGATTCAACATAACTTATTTCTAATTACATACATATTACATGAATAGAGTTTCATTGTAGAGTGTTCCAACATTTCAGATAAGTTTTTTAAAAAGCCCTTCACCCATCTTCCACTCCCTGTATCCTTTGAGGACTTTTCTAGGCCTTTGACATGTATGTGTGTATATGTGCACACAGAAATAGTTTTATTTACTTATTTAGCATAAAATAGCATATCGTCTGTATTGTTCTACACTTGTTTTTTTTTTTTTTAATTTTTTTTATTAACTGTGTGTCTTAGAGACCTTCTCGTGCCAGAATATGAAAGCCTAGCTTCTTTTTACCAGTTTAGTCTGAAAGTATGGCTGTACCATGGCTAATTTCACCATTTACCAGGTGGTTTCCAGTTTTTTACTGTGACAACATTGCAGTCCATATTCTTCTCCATGACCCTATGCACAGATGCATATGTGTCTTAGGAAAATACTTTGACCTGGAATATTTGGGTTAAAGCACATGCACATTTAAAATTATGATAGTTATTGCCATATTTGCCTCCAAAAGGTACTAATTCACCCTTCCCCCCACAATAGGATACAAAAATACTCATCCCTCCTTCACTGATACTGGAAATTAGCCATCATTTTTTTTTTTTTTTTGTCATTTCCAATCTGATCAGTGTAAGGGTTAACTCTTTAGCTTCTAATTTTCATTTTCCTGATTACTAGTGATTCTAAACATCTTTTGTATTGTTTATTGGCTATGTGTATTTTCTCTTCTGTGAGGTGCTTGTTTGTAGTCTTTTCTCAGTTTTCTTTTAGGTTGTTTGTCTTTCTATTGATTTGTAGAAATTCTTAATAGATTATGGACTTTATTTTTTTATTTTTATTTTCTTTAGATTATGGACTTTAAAAAACACATTGTCTTTTTTACACATCTCAGATATTTTCTCCAGCTTATCACTTGGCTTTTAAGTTTCATTGGGATGTAGTTTTGAAATACAGAAATCTTTAATTTTTATGTAAGGAAATACATCAGTCTTTTCTTTATAGTTTATGCCATTTTGGACCTTGCTTAAGAAGGTCTTCCCTATCGAATGCTTAGTTATTAATATAAACACATTTTCAATTATTTTTAATGCTCAGTTCTATAATCCACCAGGACTTTGTCATTGGGTATGGCATGATGGCAGCTCTTTGGAAAATGCTGTGTTCCTAATGGACATTTTGAGACACCCATTCCCCCAGCCTTCTGGTCCCCTCCCTCTGGAGGGTAATGTCTCTCCCTCTGTCCTTTATTTCCTCAGACACCAGCATTTAATTCACCCACCGCCAAGGCCAGACATCTGGACCTTAACTTAGTCACTTCTCCAACCCTCCCAGACCATCCTGAGGGCTCTTTCTCCTAAGGGTCTTTGGACTTTCTCCTCTCTCCACCTCTAATGTCCCCTCTCCCCCCATCCGCCTTAGTCCAAGCCTCATCTTTTTTTCTCTGGTCTTGGTTTCTTCCAACGCAAGCCCCAGTTTTGCAGCCTGAGTGAGCTGAAAACAGACATGCACAAAACCCAACATGCTAGTTCTGACTTTCCTGTCCCAGCACCTTCTGTGACTCCCCATGGCCCTTAGGCTAAGTTCTACCCTCCTGCCCTGGCTTACCAGCCGGTCCCTCCTAGCCTCGCTTAACTTTCCCAGTTTAGAGGCCACCTCCTCTGGGAAGCCCTCCGACCCTCTCTAGCTGTTAGAGCCCCTGCTCTGGGTACCACAGCCCCTGCACCCCTCTGAACCCTAGAACCACATTCTCAGTGAGACCGTGAGCTTCTTTAGGGAAAGAATCCCAATTGCACCCCATGTACCACTGTGCCCCCAGCACCTGGCCCCAGAGCACAGAGCAGACGCTCTGTAAATATTCTTTGTGCCCACACTATTAGGAATGAATGAAGCAAAGAAGGAGGCTGGCACTCTAAGTAGCGGGTGACACAGACAAGCAACTGTTACTTCCCCCTGGTTCTGAGGAGGGTATGGAGGGGGGAGAGGGGAGAAGCCCCAGGAGGTGGGCATGTCACCCAGGGTCCCAGGCGCTGAGCGGCCCCCTGCCATCCCCGCATCCGCAGGGCAGACGGCGCTGAACATCGCCATCGAGCGGCGGCAGGGCGACATCACCGCGGTGCTCATCGCGGCGGGCGCCGACGTCAACGCCCACGCCAAGGGGGTCTTCTTCAACCCCAAGTCCCTGCACGAAGGCTTCTACTTCGGTGGGTGCCGTCCCTGCCCGGCGCGGGCTGGGGGGCGTGGGGTGTGGGAGGAGGGAAGATGCGGGGAGGGAGGCGGGAGGGGCTGTTGCCCCTGGTCTGCACTGGGAGTGACCGTCCCTTCCCTACCTAAGAGGCTCTGGGGACCGTGGAGGACAGAGCTGGGATGGAGAGAAGGCTGCAGCAGACCCGTCTGAGCAGGATACCAGGGCGGACCGAGAGGGAGGTGTGGAGTGAGCGGGGTTGCCGCATTTGGGGGTGTCCCCTGGTGGCCTTGGAGGTGACCTCCTGGGAGGGGACAGAGACCTGGGAGGGAGGTGGAGAAGATAGCCCCATTTTACAGGTGTGGAGATGGCTCTGAGACGGGAAGTGACTTGCCTCAGTGTAGGAAGGCGATGACATAGGTGTCCTGGCCTTGGCCTCTGTCTCTGTCCCCTGTGCCCAGTGCATCTTAGGACTGCAAACAGGGAGTCAACAGTGAGAGGACAACTGTTCCCTGCCTGAGGAGCTGGCGAGTCCAGAAGCAATTGGGGTTAGAATGCCCTGGGTAAAAAAAAAAAAAAAAAAAAAAATGAAATGTATAATTTAGATATAGTGAATTCACCCATTTTAAGTGTACAGTTCGTTCATTTCACAATGATATAGTTTTAAACCCTCCACCTGCAATCGGCAGAGAACAATAGCTCCATCACATCCCCAAATTTTCCTCCTGAAACCCCGGCCTGCCTGACAACTACTGATCTGTTTCTCTCATTCTGGTGGTTTTTGAATGAGCAGGAACTAGGATGGTCTGGCAGTCCCCAGCACAGGGCACGTCCACTGTTCGCTTTCCTGTCCATTGCCCTGCCGCAGCACCTGGTCTGCAGCGGCTGTGGGGAAAAGTTTGGCGCGGCGGAGGCAACGACGGGAGCAGCAGAGACCTGCTATCCGGTCCCCTGGTTTTGTGTGACCCACGTGTGATGACACTTGCTTCTCTTTTCTGAACGAACATTATTGAGACACTTACTGTCTACCATCAGGCAACGTATTCTAGGTGCTTGAAATAGATCAATGAAAAAAACAAAGATCCCTACCCTCATGGAACTTGGCATTCTAGACAAGAGACCTATCAGTATTAAATTATAAACAAGAATGTATGTACATATACGAAAATGACAGTGCTCTTGAAAAAAAAAGTAAGCCGGGAAGGGGAATAGGGTGTGGGGCAAGGAGTGTGCAATTTGATAGGTGGTTAGAGTGACCTCACTGAAAGTGACTGAAAGCGAGCGAGAGTGAGCGATTGAAGTATATACTAGGCAAGGACAGCATGCAAAGGCCGCCCGAGGAAATGTGACCAGTGTGTCGAGGAGAGAAGGAGCCGCTTGCTGAGAGGAGTGAGCAGGGGGAGGGAGGAAGGTCAGGGACGCAAGGGCTTGAGCTTCACTCTGGGCAGGTGGCGACTTACATGCTCCACTAGGGTGGGCGGCTGCCAGGCTGAGCACAGAAGTCTGTAGGATGGTGGTGGCAGCAGGGAGACCGTTAGGAGGCCACTGCAGAGATCTAGCGTCCTTCCTTCCCTTGTACGCAAGGGGGAACGGGAAGGGCCAGGGAAGCCTTAGGGTCAATCTTCTCTGATGGTCAGGGTAGCGGGCCCCAGTACCTGGGCCTTGGGGACTCTGCTCTGGCCCATGAGAGAATGAGTCCTCCAGTGCCTCCCCGTGCCCCAGGCGAGACACCCCTGGCCCTGGCGGCAACGACCCAACAGCCCGAGACGTGCCAGCTATGCTGATGGAGTACGAGCAGACCGACATCACTCCAGGATCACGGGGAAGACAAGCATCTTGCAACGCGCTGGTGACGGTGGCGAGGACTTCAAGAGCAGAACGACTTTGTTAAGCGCATGTACGACATGATCCCTGCTGAGGAGTGCAACTGGGAACTGGAGACCATCCACAACGACGGCCTCACGCCGCTCCAGCTGGCCGCCAGATGGCAAGGCCGAGGTGCGGGTCGGGGTGCCGGGGCCCTTCCTGGGGACTCCACAGATCACAAGCCTCCAGCCATGGGAGGCCCAGCCTTAGGTCCAGAGTCCAGTCCTGGCCCGAGTGGGTTTGTTCTGAGCAGCCACACACGGCAATGAGATGAATGCACGACGTGTGCCCCTCTCGTGCGCTTAGTCTCTGAATTGCCCGTGGTTTCTATCTCTTGCCCTGGGACCCCTTCCTGGCCTGACTGGGGAGCCTAAAGGCCAGGGAAAGATCCGAGCCAATGGGCTCGTTCCCCGATTAAATGGAGAGACACCGTCCTGTTTTGTCAGAGTGTGTCCTGGGACAACCCTGTCCACGTCCCAGCAGAGAGCGTGCTGCCAGGCCTCGGTGCCTATTGCGTATGTGGCGAGGAGCTCAACCAGCGGGGAGCCTTGGTGGATGGAGACCTAGCGGGGCTGGGCTCCGACCTCTGATCTGGCTTGCGGCATGATTCCAATGGCTGGAGTCATGGCCTGGCCTGGAGGGTTACTCTCGGATAGATTTGGGATCCTGACCTGTTCCCCAGCCTCACTATCTCCGAGCCCTGGGAGGCTGCAGGAGGAATGGGGCGGCTGGGTGGATCAAGCTTGCGCCAGCCTCCAAGCACCCGCCTCCCAGTCAGCCGTCCTTAGGGCCTGGTGTACCGTCACTAGTGGCTGGGACCACAAGGGAACCCTTGTTATTCTCTTGGGGGGAGGAGGGAATGGAGAATTGCTTCAACAGAGAGGAATTGTGGTGCCCGCCCCCTCCCTGCCTGCCCCATGCTTGCTGGGCTTGGAGAGAAGTCAGATATTGTGGTTGCAGGTCAAGCCTTCCCTCCCGAGGGCCCTTTGCCCTGCGTGCAGCTGTGACACGGTGCTCCTCCCTGCCACCCCAGCCACAGGGACATGCTCTCCTTGCCTGCATGGAGCGGTGCCCCACGCCCCCGTATTCTCCGGAAGGATAACGTCCTGCATGGCCAGTCTGGGGGATGGCCATCTGTACCCTTCCTGGCTCTTTCTCCCTTTGTTCAGGTCCTTCTGAAAACTTTTCGGATGCTGCCCAGGTTGGCCACGATGTGGGGGCGGTGGAGGGTACAAGCGACTTACACACAGACCTATCCATGGGGGCTTTCCAGCAGGGTTGCAGGATGGGGACACCTCAAGCCCCATTCTAGGGTCTCTCTGCCTGGGCTACCTCAGGGGAAAGATGGGATGGGAAACCACACTGGCTTTGTGAGACGAGGCCTCTGACACTGTCCTCCCCAACAGGCCCCTCCTCTTGGGTCTTGGGTTGGTGACCCAGGAAGCCCTGCCCCCAAGAGTGGGTGGGCCCAGGGCCAGCTTCCAGGAATGGTGAGCTGGAGAGCAGTGGCTCTGCGTCTAAGCCTGCAACTTGGACCACCCAGAAAACTTTCCCAAACACGAGACTCCACTGGTCTCACGCCAGAGATTTGGATTTCCATTGGTTGGTGGCTTGGGGTTTGTCAGGTTCCCCAGTGACACTAAACTTGCAGACAGATGTTTGAGGACCACTGACTTACAAGGTACCCAGGAGCATCCCTCAAGGCTGGTGTCTTGTGTCAACCTCCTGTCTGGCCAGGCGTGGGAGCCTCCACCAACGGGGTCTTGTCTGAGGGTGGGATGGGGGAAGCCTGGAAAAACTTCTAGCCTCTTTCTCAAGTCCAGCCAATGGAAATCGTTCTAAAATTCATCAGTTCCTGATCCTCGTGCTGAGGATCCCAGGTCCCCCAGCAGTCCTCAGGCCCAGCTGGTGCGAGATTTCTGAGCGGTCCGTGCAGCTTCCTGTGAGTGTGAAGGCTGCCCCAGCTTTTGTCTCTGGTGTTCTCACGCCCGGTGAGGCTGGCAGGACACGCAAAGCTTTGCGCCCTATCACAGACTCACCTTGCCCCTGGGTTCCGGTGTCCGGTCAGAGGCAGGTCTCCGACCATCCTGGTGGGACCATCTCTGGGCCCAGCCTGCCTCTGGCTAGCCCAGCCCTGTCCCAAGCCCTGCCCTGCGCTGAATAGTTGTTCTTGTCCCGCTCCCCAGATCCGAAATACATCCTCCAAGCCGTGAGATCAGGAGAAGCCGCTCCGGAGCCTGTCCCGGAAGTTCACCGACTGGAGCGTAGGCCGTGTCCTCCTCCGCTCTACGACCTCACCAACGTGGACACCATGAGGGACAACTCGGTGCTACAGCGAAATCAATATAGTCTAAAACACCACAATACCGAATAGTGAGTACTCGAAAGTAAGGCGGGAGGCTTGAGATGGAGGATGGACCTCAAAAACAAGACGCCAGAGGGCCCTGGGAGCCCCTGTGCTCATGTCCCCAATACTTTGGCAGTGGGCAGAGTTGGCACAGAGACGGTGGGGCCTGAGACTGTGGCCCAGCTGTTCCGGTCAACTCAGATTATACGACCTCACTGGGGGGGGTTTCTCCCACCCCAGAAGCCTGGCAAGTTTGGTGTGGGTGTGGTGAGGACGTGGTTGTCATTAGAACTTCCCTCATCTCGTCTCTCTCCCACTTTCCCCACCGGGTGTATATGGCAGGCTTGGACACGTCTCTTCCCTCATCCTGGTCCACATGATGCGTGAGTGTGCACAGCTGGAGCATCAGGGGACTTCCTGGAGGGGAGTCGAAGGGGAGGTGTGTACTGGAGGAGAGGACGGGGCCGGCCGAAGAGGTGTTCAGCTCTGGGGCGGAAGTGAGGCAGCAGCAGGCAGGTCTTCCTCCTTCATATTCTTAGCAAGAATCAAGCTTCCAGAGCTGCCTTGTCTGGGGTCACTCCGACCTCAGGCAGCCGGTTGGCGGGGCGGGGATGGTGAATTTTACCAGATGAGGAGACCTGAGGCCAGAGAGGGTTGGGGCTGTCCTACGGCCACACAGTGGAATGGGCAAATTGGGTCTGCAACCTGTCACCTCTGCTGGCCCCTTCTAGCCTCACTCTAAGCTGTGCCTCAGACCCTACTGCTGGCACCAGCTCTGTGCACCTCGACTGCCTGTCCTCCAGGCA